GACACTAAATTATAAATCAATTTTAATGAAAACATATATAAGATGTTTAAAATTATACATAAAAAATAATATATTATGTATGTATAGTTATAAAATATATGTATATATTTGTTGGTTCGATTAGGTTTTTTCTTTGATTTTTTTGGATTAAATCAAAGTCAAACCAAATATTATCAATTTTTAAAAAAAAATGAAAAACCAAGTCAAATCAAATCAAATATTATTAATTTTTAAAGATGTAAAACCAAATTAAAGAATATCCAAATATAGTTGATTTGGTTCTATTTTTCAATTTGAATAGGTTTTAATCTAAACCCTAAACACACCCCTATCGGTAGGAGTAAAAGTTGTACTACAATCCATAAATAAAACAACAAAAATATCACTAGTTTGGACTCAAAAACAAATCTTAGGAATTTTTTTGGACCTAAAGATGGAAGAAGGCTATTTATGAGCCTTTTTCCATAGATTAAGGGTACTTATGAGCCTTTAATAGACATGTTAGTGTAATTAAGTAGTTTTTTTCTTTTCATATATATATATAAATGAGGGAAAATGTCCAAGAATACCCTTAACATATTGGAGAAGATTTAAAAATATCTCCCATCCATCTTTTGGTCTAAAAATAAATTCCATCTTTATTTTTGGTTCATAGATACCCCTCTTTCCACTCTTTGGTCTAAAAATTCTCTCAAACCAAAATTGAATTGAATTCTTTTACTAATTAGTTCATGCTTTTATTTGTTTTGAATTTTTTTTAAATTCAAATTCTTAATATTAGCTCATCTCAAAATATTAAAAATAATTAAGTCTAATTATATTTAAAATAAAAAGTTAATTTTTTTTTACGCAATCTTATCTCTGGGCGATTTTGTATTAAGCAAAAAGATATAGAGGGGAGCTGAGCCTGACCATAATTGTGTATCTAATTATAGTTTCCATTTCTTGAAATCTCTCTCTCTCTCTCCCCCCCCCCCCCTCCCCCCCAAAAAAAAAAAACAAAAAAACAAAAAAAACTCCCTTCTTATGTCTTAGTGCCATTTGGATGGGCTTTTAAGTTTGTTTTTGACTTGTGAGAGTATTTGACAATTATAAGAACAATTAAAATAAGTCAAAAGTAACTTAAAATAAGTTAAAAGTAGGGTGACCCCTATTTTTTTTTTAAACTTAAAAGTCATTCTACTTTGACAAGTATATTACTTTTTTACCCTTAATTTTTTTAAACAATTCCCAAATTCTTTCTTGTGATCTATTTGTTGGAATGTATGTGTCCACTTATCAGTTAAGGACCAGGTCCTTTGACTCAGCAAGAACAGTAACTAAAAATATGTGTCCACTTGTTTCGATGGGACCAAGTCCTCAGCACAGTTACAATAACAAACAGTAAAATAAGTGCTGAAAGTAAAGATTGAACAAACAACTTTACGTGGAAACCTCCTTACTCAAGGGAGTAAAACCACGACCTGTCTCAACAAGACTTTTCAAACTGCTTCTACTAATCTTCTCAAAGCAAAAGTAAAAATCAGTTTACAACCACACATAAAGATTAACCTCCTAATCTCTACACTAAGTAATACAACGATTACTTAACCAAGCCTAAGCAGATGCCACACTGCCCACTAATTAAGCTATCACCCCTAGATAACTTAGACTTTGCTAAGCGGATACCACACCGCCCACTAAACCACCTAACTCTAGATGATTTAGAATTTGACTAAGCAGATACAACACTGCCCACTAAATCAGTTAACTCTAATCGACTTAGACTTTTTAGAAAATGAAACAAAATATCTAAATCCTTTATAGAATAGGAACATATTTACAATGTAAGCACATAAGACACAAAGCTCTAAATACAACAAGATGCTTTAGCACTCCATCTGGTCCCTTGTTGTTATGAACAATGTTCTTCTTTGAAGGTGACCTTCTCTTTTCAAGCTTGTGAATTTTCAAAGAAAATCCAAGTTTTTGTTTGCCAAATCTTGAGTTTGTGTATTTTGGAAAGAGATGATATAAATCAACACAAACTCGTTGAAACACTCCTATTGGCTGAAAGCTTGCTGTTCAGAAAAGTTTCTCACCTACCACATCAGAGGTGGCAGCTTTTTTGACGGCTGTCTTGTCACCTTTCATATCGCAGTCTTGCAGGGACCAGGTCCCTCGCAAACGTCTTTGTGGGTTCTTGAAAAGGCTTGCTGGCTGACTTCCTTCTTAGGATGAATGAATTTAATATAGTGTTTGTCATGCAGAAAATATCAACCATAAAAAGTTATTACCATTGGACAAACACCCTCGTTCATTCTGATTGGTGTAGTACGCTGACGCCTCACCAACCTCTGACACGACAGCTTTACAACTATACCCCATTATAGATCTGGATGAGAGAACACTGAAGCATACAATCTCATCCGCTCTTCCAATTGGGGTATGACACTGCACTTTTCACTTGCACTTTTCACCTACCACCTGACATGACAGCTTTACAGCTGTACTCCATTTGTATCTGGACGAGAGCATTCTACCAGGGACTAGGTGGGCATTTGTGATAACACTATTCAAATTATATATTTTTGAAATTTAAAATTAACTTAAATACTAAGTTATTGAAATTGAATTAAAATATAAATTAATTTTATTTTAATTTTTCTTAGAAATAAAAACCTTAGATTAACAACACTTATTTGCCAAACACATCAACAATTTTTTTTCAACTGCAACTTTTTTATCCAAACACATAACTTCTTATTTTTAAAATAACTTTGAGCACTTTAAAAAGTTATTTTTTTTAAGTCAACCCAAACGGGCTCTTATTTATCGTGGTCACTGACCCAAAATAACAATAACAATAATATAAAAAAAAAACTCTTTCCCCCCTATTTACAATCAATGATCTCAAATAAGAACACCTATCACGAAATCTTGAGAAAACAAAATTTCTTTTTTTTGTTTCTTATTTACTGTCATTGATCATTATTAAAATCTTAAATATTAACTACTTATATAATCAGTCAAATTTTGTCGTTTTTCCTTTATTCCTCGTCACTATAATTTTTCACAACATAATAAATTTATTTTTTTATTTTAAATATAATTAGACTTAAATATTTTGGGATGAGCTAATATTAAGAATTTGAATAAAAAAAGAATTATTTAATTAGTAAAAAAATTCAATTCAATTTTGATTGAGGGGGTTTTTAGACAGGTGAAAGGAAGAGTATTTTTAAACCAAAAAATAAACCAAGGGTATCTTAAAATCTTTTCCAATATATTAGGGGTATTTTTGGTCATTTCCTCCCATATAGATACAGATGCCTATACAAATATGAGAGAGGGCCATAAGCTGAAGCAAAGAAAAGTGAGATTGTAATAGCGGGTTCTGCACATATTTTGGTGCTTCATTTCTTCGAGAATTTTGCAAAATTAAACTTTTATGCAAAGGTAGCCCTGAAATTCTTCTTCTCTTGCTAATTACTTTCTACTACTAATTTTATTGAGATATTGGGGGTAGGGTTTTGGGATTCAACCTTAAATATAGTTTTCAATCCTTCAACTTGAATGTGTTTATTTAAGAATTTATTGTTGGGATTGTCATAATAGCCATTAATGATGTTTTTTCAAGGAGATGAGTTTAGCTTATATGATTTATCTGGTAGATTAACCCCCAAATTGAGTATCTTGACGGTTTATGCAATTCGATCCTTTTAATAGACAAATCTCAATTTGTGAATTTCTTTATTCTTTGTGATATTGACCACATTTCTCATCTTTATTTGCATTTTAGTGGAATGAGTATATTATACAACAAAAACAAACCCATTGTAGTCCCGTAAGTGGTTGTCTGTGTGGAGGCTAGAGTGTCCGCAGAGCTTATGCCTATAACTCGTGGAGGTAGAGAGGCTGTTTCTGAAATGAGTATTATATCGTTTCTAAATTGTGACTTTATAATGGTCGCTGTATTCTGCATGTTGGATCTTCTACTATTCTATGTTCTGCCCGAAAGTGTGCTAATCTCTATGTGCTGTGGAGCTGAGTATCTTATTCTGCGATAGGTGTTCCTTTATTATAAATAGACATAATACATAGTATGCCCTTTAACTTGGTCTTAGCTCACATTTATGCCGTCCAATTTTCAGTGTGCACAATAGATACTTATGTTGGGATATATACTATTAACCATATGTTAAGAAATAATATTTATTATAGAATAAATATTTGCTCAATTTTAACAGATCATATATTCGTTTATGGTGTCTATTTAGTTATATAGTAGATGATTTAGTGTGTAGAGTTTTAGCTTATACATTTAGATGTAAGCGTGACTCTGATACCAATTGTTGAAAAACTATATGCACAGCGAAAGCAAAGCATATCAGGATCTTACTGCTTACATGAATAATAAATAACCAAATCGTTTATGCTAGAACACATATAATATGCTAGAACACATAAACTTGCTGAAATTTAATTCAAGAATTACCTACGTGTCCTACATGTCATCCTACATGACAATTTGCGGCCTACGTGGTGTCCTACATGTATTATGCCACATACTCCTCTTGTGTCTAGTTGTTCAACTTTATATAAGTTTAATTAATTATTTGTGTACACTTAAAGTTGGAGGGCATAAATATGAAATGAGGCCAAGTTAAAGGGTAAATTTATGTATTATGCCTTATAAATATCCTTGTTCAAGCATTAGTGCAAAGACTAAGAAGATTCTTCTTTTTCTTGTTCACACCCACATCCAGGATATCACAATTTTCTTGATTTTCTTTTATATATACTGGGTTCATTTCTCGACTGCTATCACTTGTTCTATTTCACTGTGGGGAGAGGAGAGGGGAGGAGAAATTAGCAAAAGATCTTCTGTTTGAGAGTTTGCTTTGAGTGCTTTCCCTTTAATGTATCTTCATGGATTTTCACGAATCAAAGGGTTGAATATATCGCCCAAGAGCGGTTTGGACACCACGGTTATCAAAATTTACCTGATTAATTCCCTGTCTTAACTTTCTGCAGGGAAGAGGAGTTGATGGTTTAATTGTTTGTCTTAGCATATGCTGTAGCTACAATTACACAATTGTACGGCAAATTTCCTTCATTGATCTAAACTGGACTAAAATGAGCACCAAGGAACTAGAGACATACCTATCTGAAGTTGGAAGCTCAAATCAGTTAGAGACAAACAATTCAAACTATGTCTCTCATGTCAAGAAGCTACTATATCGACGAATGCTGGTTGGTATAAGTGATGGAAGGTTCTTTCTAGGTACATTTTATTGTATTGATAAGCAAGGAAACATAATTCTTCAAGATGCAGTCGAGTACCGTAGCACTAGAAGATCTGCCCCTTCTCCAATGGAACAGCGAGTTCTTGGTCTCATTTTAATCCCTTCCTTATGCCGGAAAACATGTCATGTGGATTGTTCTATTGACGAACAGTTGTCCCTAATGTCGCTTGGGGAGCAAAAGTCTTAATTATTCGTGGCGATAAACTTGATCCAATTGGATGAACATCTTCCCTGTTTGATTCATCGTGACAATTGATTATTTCATTTTCAAGTGTGAACTTTATTGGTGTTATATTATCATATGTTTTTCTCTTCTAGGAAGAAGCTGATGAGTCTGTCATCGATAAACTTGTCATTTTCTGCTGCATTCCTCTCTCTAATGTTCCTTATGGATGGTTTCCTCCTACCATGATACCCCTGCCCCTGATCCATTATAAAGTTCCAATTTTGACGACTAGGCCCCGGGGCTTTCTAGTAGTAAGAAAGCAACACGTGATGTGGATCAAGTACATTTCACAAGTTTGAATCTTGTTAGGGGGAACTGTTGATGTGTAAGTGGAGAAAGATCGTAGGATAGGTCCATTATCCACCGAGTTTCAAAGCATGCACCATTAGTCCTCGGGGATATCTCAGTTATAAGAAAAAATATGTTTTGATGACCAGTGTAAGTGAAACAGTTGGTAGACCAGTCGGCCAGGAGTGTCAATGATGCATATGACAATTTATTACTTCACTGATCGTTGATAAGAGTTTTTTTTTTTTTGGTTCTTTTGGTAAAAAATGGGTCGTTTTGTTGGTGGTTAGAGAGGAGTTACCCATGCATTAGAACTAGCATGACTTTATACATTGTTTGGTTAAATGGAGGAAAATAATCTTCCCATAGAATTTAGCATAAGTTACACAATGTTCAGTTGGTTCTCTTCACACAAAACATAATATTGAATACAGTGTTTGGTTCATGTTTTTCTTTTCCACATAAGAAAAATGAATTGTGAAAGCTACAAGAGTAACAGTTAATAACATGGTCTTTTCCCAGCTCTAAAATGAAGCCTTTTTTGTCAAGTTAATACCATCCAATGAACAAACTAAAACTGCATTAAGGATCAAAGGTACCACTCAAAGAGATGAAAAATTGTTAATGTTGGATCATGGAATATTTATAGTCAAGAATTATCTACATGATGAAATATGTATCACAAGCGCTAAGAGCTATAGCTCGGAATTCGCTTATGAGTGAGCTTCCTTCCTTATGCTTTGGCCTGACCTTCCTTCAAGGAACTTTCTGATTACAGATATTCAATATCTGTCTTTGTAACTTGTTCCATAAACGATCAGGTAAGGTATGGTCCGTACAACTGTGTCAATCGGTATGGCAAAGTTAACCCCCGAGGACATACCCGAGCCTGCAACATGAATGAAATCTCAAAAGCAATTAGAAATTTCCTCAGATTTCATCCTTTTCTGATCACTAAGTTTCTGTATATATAAAATATTTATGAAGACTAGGTCACCAGAGAGTATTAAACTCCTGTGAAGCAGCAAGAAAAGTAGATGCTCATTAAAGATCAAGTAACTGAAATGACTATTACAGATTCACCTGTCCAACTCTACAGCATCAAATAAGTGTGAGCTTTAATTTCTTTCAGATCACACGATTTTGCAGGACGCGACTTAAGGCTATGGTGCTCGGATTCTTCAAGAATGCTGCAGGGTGCGTGTTAAATCCTCCAAAAGTAGTGGATTATTGGAGGAACCGATACGGGTGTGACAACATTTTTGGAGAGTTTGAGCAACGAAGGCTAAAGGTCCTTTAGTAAAATCACAAAATGATGTAACCTGTAGGCTAATTAAGATTCAATAGTAAATATGTTAATCATTCTAGAATTGTGTGCTAAGTAGGCTTCTACATACTTCATCATAGGCCATTAGGGATGGTGAACTACAGCTTTTGTAATAGGCATAGGCTCTTAACCTTGTGATTAGGCTTGGATTATAATCTAAGCCAATCCAATTTTCTAACCTAGAAACCAAGCTTGATATACCACATTTCTAATTAAATAAATTTAAATTTTACCAAACTACGACTATAACTTTGATCATGTAACTATGGATGCAGCCAGATTAGCGAAATTCCTGAGCAGTCACTAGGATTAGTAAGCTTCTAAGTTTCTACTGATCTATGCTAATTCAGCTCTATTCTTGACAAACTCTTAGAAAGGAATAACCTCTGATCCTTCTGAGGGATTAATGATAAAATGCACATCTTTTACACCTTGTTATGCAAAGCACAATCCGTAACAAGCTTTTAGATAGCCGAAACGTTAATGCCAAATAATAAGAAGTTATGTTAATTGTATACGAAGTTTGACATAAAAAAGTATATAAATGGCAATGGATAAAAGATTGTGCATATGTTCTGCAGTATTAGGGTAGAGGGAAAAGCAAATACATTTTCCCGAAGGGGAGGACAGAACTAGATCCTACCAGGCCATAAAAATTCAACAGTTACCTAATACGTTGGCTTAGGATACGGGTAAGATGCTTGATGATTCCATGTGATGCAGAATTTAAACAGTTAAAATTTGAAAAATGAGAATATGATGAACACCAATGCTTCTACTTCTATCCTGGTCAACCTAGAGCAGAAGAATCAACATGTTCTGTGTAAAGATAAGAAGCAACAGGCATTTAATAATGTCAGCAAGCGATGAACCAACAGATGCAGACCTGCCAGCATTCATGTAAAAACGTATTTGAAAGGGAAAACCTTAAACGAGGGATCACCAATAAGAAAGAGAAAAAAGAAGAATATCAAGCAATCATTCTTACCTCTGCGGGTGAATGTTGCTGTATTTACACCAATTACATGACCAGATGAGTCAATCAACGGACCACCTGAATTCCCTGCATAAGTAACTATAAGTCAAACTAAATCTCGGCATGCATAACTTGATGAATTATGAGTTCTAATCAGGTAAAAGTATTCTACTTTGACAATTTCTGCAGTTAGAAATTGAACTTCATCCCTTAAATCAAACTGGCATTCAACCTTGTCGGCATCCTCATGTAAACCAGATAAACAACCATTTAACTGGCTCTGCTCTCTAAACAATGTGTTACATCCTACTCAAACAGTACATCATGAAGAGGTGACAGTTGTGCTTAGGGTGACAAATTAGCCCTTGAAAACATGACCCGCTCAACCCATCCAAGTTTGGGCTAATCATTTATTAACTCAACTCATTTCAGCCCATCAAGAAGTTCTGCTTCATCTGTAGCCTAAATTGACCCTGAGAAATCTTGTCAAAATATTTTCAAAACACAATCTTTATAATTGATATGTTCTATAGAGCCATAATTTTTTTTTATAAAAAAGATAAGTTTTATTATGTACTAAAAAATTATAAAAGAACAAGCAATGAAACGAAAACTTAGTAAGAATTGAGCTGTTTGGGTTATGCCCAAGTAACTTTTGGCCACCAATTTATTAACCCAACCCTTTTGACACCCCTACTTGTGCTATTCACCATAATTTTCTCACAAGTGATCATATCTTATACAGGAAAACTAAAGAATAATGTTTACCTGCATTAATTGCAGCATCTGTTTGAATAGCTCCTTTAATGGCAGCTCCATTTGGTGCAGGTATTTCCCTGCCTAATCCACTAACTACCTGTAACATTTGAGGTAATCAAATAAACAATAGTAACTTATTAACTATCTTTATTCCCTATGAATAATTGTTTTTTTTCCTTTCTCTATGGCATGGAGAAACATGAGCAAATTAAATTAATTTATAAACTTCAGCAGTTTCATGATTTTGGTTCCCTTTGGCCTAGGTATGACTGAATTCTGGAGTATGAGCATTTTTAGGATATTGAGAGTATGAGCTGAATAGAATATTTTCTTTGTTTATATCAAATGAAAAGCTATATACAGTAAAAGGAGAGAGCTGCCGTTCAATAGAAATGGAAACATTTAGCATCCTCAAAGGAAATCAAGATAACAAGTTATATACTGAGTAAGTTTAACAGAAATGCATGAAAAATAAATGCTAGAATCGCTCTTCCCTGGAAATGAAACCATAAAATGAGTCTCCACACGGGTATATTTCTTAACTTATAAATAAACTGTAGAAATGTATTACCCCAGTTGTGAGAGTGTTTTCAAATCCATAGGGATTTCCAATGGCAAAACAACTTTGACCTACACGTAGGTCGCGAGAGGTACCAACAGAGACTGGTTTTACTTCAACACCTTCAATATCAACCTGCAGTAGGATAGGAGACAATCAAACCCAGGGGACTCTTTAACTGACCAACTTTTATAGATATCGAATGTTGTTAGACAACTTTATTTTGCACATAGTTTTTTTTCTTCATGTTTAATACCCATTCTCGTTTAACATTTCATTTTCATTAGATCTAATCTAAGTGTTTTCACTTGTCTCTATTAAATTGCTTTTTTGTTAAAAGGAGAGAAGCAATGACAGATACCAATTGAGATTTTGGAGTATGAGGGGGTGTCGGAACGGTATGACAACAACAAACAACCCCTCTGTCAAAACAAATCGGGGTTGGCTATATGAATCCTCACTAGTCATATCTCCTCATTTAAAATCTAACTCATGTCATCATCATACCAAAAAAGGAAATAAAAGTGAAAAATAAGTTAAATATATAAGTAAATAATAATATTAAATGTTCTTTATATACTCACTTACATATAAAGGTCAAAATACTACTTGGAAAGCAATACGTTCAAAATAAACATACTAACTTCGTCTGTGTGAGCTTGCTCATATTGCCAGTCCTAAACCCAGATAACGGAGGAGGGGTTGCAACATGCTGGCAGCCGATGTAAAACTTGCTAACTCATGATGAATCCTCACATATAGACTGAAACTAGAAGACCTTGTATATAATTTTCTGAGACAGGCGAATAGTGCCTTATTTAGGTACGTGCTTAAAATTTGTATGAAATTGATCCCCAATAATTTCACCATAATAGGTTGATGGCGACTGTACATCACATTCATGCATTTACGATTCATGTGACGGTATTGATACTCTTGAAAGGTGTGCTATTTGCTCGCAGTTCTCTTTGTGTCTCTATTCCTAAGGTAGAAGTGCCATCTTTCCAAGTTATATGACGGTCTTCCCATTTTTAAACATTTCAAACGTTTTATACCAATCCATTTCCACACAACTTTCACAATTCAATGGCTCAAATTCGTTTAATTGTTCAAATTTAACACTTTGATATGATGTTTTCTCCATCAAACCTTTTAATATTTTGTTCCACAATAGCTATATAATATATAAACCAAAATTAATATCTCAACATCCGTGGCCA